GAAGTATTTAGAGTGACGGCATGAGTCTTACACACAAGGTATTTAAGAAACTGATTAAAATTTGGACGGGATAGTAAATTACAGCATGTAGGACTGGAAGAGCCAGTTTGTCCATGTCTTTCCTGAAACATGGCACCTAGAACTGGACACAATACTCCAGCTGAGGCAGAGAGAAAGAATTACTTCTCGTGTCTTGCTTACACTCCCACTAATGTATCCCAGAATAATGTTGGGTTTTTTTGCACGTGTCTCAGTATTGACTCATTTAGCTTGTGATCCACGATGACCTCCAGGTCCCTTCCCACAGTACTGCTTTCTAGGCAGTCATTTTCCATTTTATATGTATGTAACGGATTGTTTCTCCCCACATGGAGTCAAAGCCCTTTGTCCTTATTGAATTTCATCCTATTTACCTCATCATTTTGAATTATGACTCTACCCTCCAAAGCACTTGTAACACTTCCCAGATTGGGATCGTCCACAAACTTTGTTAAGTGTACTCTATGGGCCAGTATCTAAATCACTGATGAAGATATTGAACCAGACCCAGAACTAATCCCTGAGGATCCCCACTCGTTATGCCCTTCCAGTGTGACAACCATTGATGACTACGCCCTGGGAATAGTAATCCAAATAATTATGTACCCACTACATGCTATTGTAGCTCCAACTAGGTTCTATTTCCCTAGTTTGCTAATGAGAAGGTCATGTGAAATTTTATCAGAAGCTTAAATCTAGAAATACCACATTTACCACCTTCTGCGATCCACAAGCCTTGTTACCCTGTCAAAAAAGTTATCAGGTTGGTATGACAATTTGCTTTTGACAAATCCATGCTGTTACTTATCACCTTATCTTCCAGATGTTTGCAAATTGATTGCTTAATTATTTGCTCCATTATCTTTACTGGTCTGAAATTCCGTAGTTTGCCCTTATATTCCTTTTTATAGATGAGCACCATATTTGCCCTTTTCCAGTCTTCTGGAATCTCTCCCATCTTTCATGACTTTTAAAAGATAATAGCTAATGACTCATATCTCCTCAGCAAGCCCCTCTGAGTATTCTGGGATGCATTTCATCAGGCCCTGATGACTCCAAGACATCTAAATTGTCATAGTAATTTTTACCTTGTTTTTTACCTATTTTAGCTTCTGACCCTACCCCATTTTTACTGGCATTTACTAAGTGTTAGGTGTCCAATCAGCACCAGCCTTCTTGGTGAAAACCAAAACAAATAAGTCATTAAGCACCTCTGCCATTTCCGCATTGCTATTGTTTCTCCTTCTTCATTGAGTAATGGTCCTACCCTGTCCTTGGTCTTCCTCTTGCTTCTAATATATTTGTAGAATGTTTTCTTGTAACCCTTTAGGTCTCTAGCTAGACTGAGTTCATTCTGTGGCTTCGTCTTTATAATTTTGTCCCTACAGATATGAGACAGACCCATAGTCTCCTATAGACAACCACCTAACCTCAAGATGATTCTTACCAACCACCACAGGACATACCACACTAATACCAACCCTGGTACCTTCCCTTGCAACAAACCCCGTTGCCAGCTTTGTCCACATATTCATTCTGCTGATACCATTATTGGACCTAACCAAGTGAGTTATAAGATCAAGAACACATATTCCTGCGCATCCAGAAATATAATCTACGCTATCATGTGCCGAAAGTGTCCGTCTGCTATGTACATTGGACAAACATCTCAGACACTTCGCCAAAGGATTAATGCCCACAAAACAGATATCAGACAAGATCACAAAGAGAAAACAGTTTCTTGCCACTTTAACCAGAAAGGACACTCTCTAAATGACTTAGCCACCTGCATTCTGCTACAAAGACCTTTTACATCTGCACTTGAAAGGGAATCCTCTGAACTGTCATTCATGTTAAAATTCGACACTTACCACCAGGGACTTAACAAGTCTTTGAACTTTCTCACCCATTATCAAGACAGTTTCCCCAATTATCACCTGTAATACCATTAACTCACAAACATCCCACTCTCCCTACCTCTAATATCATCAATTCACAGACACTTACCTTCCTTCCTCCCCCTTCCCACCCCCCCGCCTCCTCCTTCTGTTCTGCAATGTGATTTGTCCTTTTCATATTTGTTCTTTTTTTTAATTGTATCCTTTGGTATATATGGTTGTGACTACTTTCTTCCACTATTTGATCTGAGGAAGTGGGTCTGGCCCACGAAAGCTCATCATCTAATAAACCATCTTGTTAGTCTTTAAAGTGCTACATTGTCCTGCATTTTGCTTCAACTACCCCAGACTAACACGGCTACATTTCTATCACTATATATACTTGTGTTTGTTTATATTCTTCCTTTGTTATCTGACCTAGTTTCCACTTTTTCTAGAACTCTTCAGATCATTGAAGATCTCCTGGTTAAACCAGGATGGTCTCTTGCTATACTCCCTATCTTTCCTGTGCAGCAGGATAGATTGCTCATGCGCCCTTACTAATGTCTTTTGGAAAAAAAAATGCAACTGTCTTCAATTGTTTTTCCCCTTAGACTTGCTTCCCATGGGATTTTACCTACCAGCTCCCTGAGTTTGCTAAAGTTTGCCTTCTTAAAATTATCTTTACCTTGCGATTTTCTCTTACCATTTTCATAATCATGAATTCTATTATTTCATGATCACTTTCATCTAAGCAGCCTTCCACTTTAAAATTCTCGACCTGTTCTTCCTTATTTGTCAAAATCAAATCTAGAAGAGCTTGTCCCCTAAGTGGCATATTCCACCTTCCGGAATTTTAAAAATAAAGATCTCCAATACTTTCCAAGAACTGGTTGGATAATCTGTGCCCTGCTGTATCATTTTCCCAACAAATGACTGGGTAGTTGAAGTTATCCATCTCCATCAAGTCCTGTGCTTTGGATGTTTTTATTTGTATAAAGAAAGCTTCATTCACCTCTTCTTCCTGGCTAGATAATCTGTAATAGATCTATGCAATCTCCCTTATTTTTTACCCCATTTATCTTTACCTAGAGTCTTTTTAAAAGTCTGTCTCCTATTCCTCTCTCAACCTTAGAGAAAATGTGTACATTTTTAATGTACAAGTCAACACCTTCTCCCTTCCCCTCCACCTGCCGTTCCTGAGCAAGCTGTACCCTTCTATACCAATACTCCAGTCATGTGTATTATCCCACCAAGCCTCTGATGTCAACTAAGTCATCTACTGTTTCTAGCCTGTCCACAGTGCTTGTTACTTTCTCAAAGAAGGAGAGTAGATTTGACTGATTTGCCAGGATTTGTTCTTGACATTTATCACTTTTTTCCCCTAGGTGCTTACAAATTGATTGTTTGCTTGTTTACTCCATTATTTTTCCAGGTATCAAAGTTCAGCTGAGTGGGCTACATCTCTCTGGGCTACTCTTATTCCACTTTTTATAAATAGTTACTCTATTTGCCCCCTTTCCAATCCTCTGAGATGCACCTGCCCCCCATGATGTCTTCAAGATAATCACTTATGATTCAGATTGCTTCAAACAGCTCCTCAAGTATTCCAGGATGTGTTTCATCAGACCCTGACAATTTGAGGACATCTTATTTAAGTATTTATTAATACTGGCTCTTTTCTTATTTTAGCCTCAGATTGGATCCCTTCCACCATCTGAGCCCAAGCTCCTCCCCCCCGCCGGACCTGCGCTAGGTCCCCTCCGCCATCTGACCCCAACCCCGCCCCCAGGCCATGCCGCATCTCCTCCACTGTCTGAGCCTCACCCCACCCCAGATCCTTCACATCTTCTGTCGAGACCCTGCACTCCAAACGTGATCCTGCCCCCTCCCTCCTGGCCAGACACCTACCCCCAGCCTGCTCCTGGTACCTCCCCTGCTCTTGCACTCTTCCCCCAGCCAGACACCTACCCCCAGCCCACTCCTGCCCCCATCTGCTGGCCAGACACCTACCCCAGAGAGGGGGGGGTTGGCAAGCACAGAAAGCAGGGAGCACAGCCCCCAGTCTCATTTTAACCTCAGATTCTACTCCATTTACATTGATGTTCACTGTGTTAGTCCTTGTTAGCATTTTGGTGAAAACAAAAAAGCCACTTCAGCTAGGGCTGCGTTTTCTCTTGTTTCCTCATTGAGTAATGGGTAGGGCCTACCAAATTCACAGTGCTTTTTGGTCAATTTCACAGTCATAGGATTTTAAAAATCAAATTTTATTATTTCAGATTTTTAAATCTGAAATGTCACAGTGTTGTAGCTGTAGAGCAGTATTAGGGGTTACACTTTTTTTTTAAAAGGAGGGGATTGTGAAATTGCTAAGGTGACCAGGCATCCTGTTTTTAAAGGGACAGTCCTATATTTAAGCCACCCCGAGGTGTCCTGACTTCTTAAAAACAGGCAAATTGTCCCATATTTTCTGTTTACCCCCTATAAGTACTAGTGGGTCCTGCTGACTGCCAGACCCCTAATTGACAGCTGATCCCCTAACAGATGAGTGGGGGGCTATTGGCTGACAATAGCGACAGGTGTGCAAAGCTGGTGGTGGGGCAAAGTTGCAGCATACTGGGCTGGCTGCTGCTTCATAGTGCAGCCCGTGCTGCATGCCAGCTCTCAGCCAGCAAGGGCCCCACCACCTGTCCCGTTTCCAGCCGGCACCGACTCACTTGAATACTAGTAATTTTACCAGGTGTCCCATATTCAATATAGGGAAATACGATCACCCTAGGAATTGCCACTCTTCCTTCTACTATGTCAGAGCTGGGTGGACAGAAAGTGGCAGCTGCTGGCCAGGTGCCTGGACTGGAAGGCAGTGTTACTGCCAGCAGCAGTGCAGAAGGAAGGATGTCATGGTATGGTTTTGCTACCCTAAACTAGCTCCTCCAAGCACCAACTCCTTATCCCCCCTCCCCACCTTGCTACCTCTGTAGTCTACTCAACTACCCGATAAGCATAGGCTTATTGGGTAGTCAACTACTCCCTTACATCTCTAGTGATACCAGGAGTTTTTCATCATTCCACGTACTCCCTTACCTTTAATTTTCTGTTTGTATTCTTCTGGTCGGTGGAGATACATGGCTGCAGCATCACCATTTAGAGGATCTATGGGGTTAGGATAGGCCAGCAACTGGGGCAGGAACGACTCAAATATATTGGTAAGATCTGCAACAAAAATTAATATCGCACAGCTACATCTCAGACCAACAGTTAACCACGTTGAACATCAGTGAAACTGTGCCTTGCTGAAGCCAGACATTAAGGTGGTGTAAAGCTTAAATTCATACTAGTTTACCTATCCTAGATTGCTAATATAGCTGAGATTTTATGTGATAATGGAGCTTCCAACACTATGCCCAAACTATTTTAGACTTCCATAGCACCTTTCATCTGAAGCTCTCAAAACACTTTACAAATGCCAATGACTTCAACAAGCCTACGGAGATTTGCGAAACACCTTCACTTAGGGAAATGGAGGCAGACGTTAAATGATACATCCAAGGTCATACAGCAAACATAGCAGTAATTAGACCCAGGTCATTCTTTTGTGATTTAAGCTGTGGACACCTTCCTCTCACCTCAGTTCCCCATGTTTCCTTGAACATTACCGTCTTTAAATACTAGACTTAAAATTGACATGTCTCAACACAATACAGTTTTAACAGAACTTCGACACTTGTGATAATAAAAACAGCAACCAACAAAGTTCATTCTCCCATTTCATAACAATTAATAGCATGTGAAGAGATCAGATTAATGCCTTCCTGCCAGTTGGCATCTATCACTAATAGTCCATGACAGGAAACAGGTTTCTGGTGCTGATGAGTAATTATGAACACACAAAACCATCCTCCACACCCCACCTCCAAAAAAGACGTACGCACCATACTTCAAAGATGCGGGTGTGAAGCAACGGGCTGTGTCATTCCTTCTTCAATGTTTCAGGCAGCTCCAGAAGGGCTGTGTGCGCCCACACAGATGGAAGAGTACACCCTCCGTGTGTGGTTCGGAGGGTGTTTTTGCAATGTTTAACTTCAGCTGTTAAAGACTAGCAGGTGCATGCGTTTTATTTTTTATTTTTTTAATAAAAAGCAAGATCACCCTTTCAAACCCTCAGTCATATTTTGTCAGCATCCCCTTTTCATCATACGCAGGCTTCGCCCCCATCCCTCATCCCCTTCCTGGGGATAGAGAAAAACTGGTGGAGAAGCTACAGCACAAAGAATGGCAAAAAATGTCTTACTGCTGCTAATCAGAGGAGAATTTTTATTGTGGGAGGGCAGGGAGATACTCGTTGTTTCTCAACACATCCGATGCTGATGGAGGCAGCACTAGGATCAGACCTGTACCTCTTAGACCTTTATTTTAAATAGGGCAAGAGATTAAACTAGCCTGCCTCTGTATCTTCCCTCATAACCCAACTTACCCTGCCTGGCTTACAGTATATGTCTACACTGCAATTACACCTTCCAGCGGGCCTTTGCCAGCTGACTCAGGCTCGTGGGGGTGGGGGTGGGGCTGGGGCTGTTTCATTGTGGAGAAATTGGAAAGGGTACAGAGAAGAGCAACAAGAATGATTAAAGGTTTAGAGAACATGACCTATGAAGCCAGGCTTCATGAACTGGGCTTGTTTAGTTTGGAAAAAAGAAGATTAAGGGGGGACATGATAGCGGTTTTCAAATATCTAAAAGGGTGTCACAAGGAGGAAGGCGAAAATTTGTTCCTCTTGGTTTCTGAGGACAGGACAAGGAGTAATGGGCTTAAAGTGCAGCAGGGGAGGTTTAGATTGGACATTAGGAAAAAATTCCTAACTGTCAGGGTGGTCAAATATTGGAATAAATTGCCAAGGGAGGTGGTGGAATCTCCCTCTCTGGAGATATTTAAGAACAGGTTAGATAGACATCTGTCAGGGATGGTGGAGACGGAGCTTGGTCCTGCCTTGAGGGTGGGGGGCTGGACTCAATGACCTCTCGAGGTCCCTTCCAGTCCTATGATTCTATGATTGCTGTGTAGACGTTCAGGCTCAGGCTGAAGTCCAGAGTCTAGTACCCTGTAAGGTGGGAAGGTCTCCCTTTGGGAAGCTGGAACCCAAACATCTACACTGCAATTAAACAGCCCGTTAGGCATGTGGGGCTCGGGCCGAGTCAGCTGGCAAAGGCCAGAGGTGTGCATCTAACGGCTGTGTAGACATAAGCATCATGTGAACTTCTGGCTCTTGGCAGATCACCTACGAAAGTGCTCCTACAGCACTCATGCTGGGAACCTCTGACCTGGTCATGGCACTGAGGAAGAGATTACTCAGTTATTGTCAAATCTTCCTTCCTGAGTTAACCCATCCTGCATATGTAGAAACTCCAGGGTATTGACTAGCTGAGTCACTTCAGTGTGAACATGGCATAGCAAAGACGGAAATTAGGGTTTGCCCACACAGAGTAGCTGCTCAGTTTTAAGTAAGCCAGTGCAACATCACATCATCAGCTAAACAATGCAATTTTGTGCCTGGCTCCAAATAACTAAGGGCTAGTCTAAGCAATACAAGAGACAGCCTCTACAACGTGAGGTTTTTTTAAGCATAAGATTTTGAACAGAAAAGCCTTTGCCTTTTTCAAGGGCAGGTAGATAGAAAAAGGAAGGATATGAGAAACACTCTTAAGTACACAAATGTTTCCAGGCCCAGTTTGCCAAAGCTGGTGCATTGAAATGCCAGTTGTCATCGTCAGCTACTTGCAACAGATTCACAAAGTACAGTCCTACTCTCAAAAGGGATCACAAAAAACAGTAATGACAAATAAAGACAAGAATATTTTCCTGCTGGTATTGGACGGAGTTTCTTCGGTATATTCCAGCACTTAAGCCATGCTCAGCAACAGGTTTGTTTCTTAGTTTACATGGACTTGTAACACAACTGACAGTTTCAACTCCTTCCATTGGGAGAACTAAAAATATTTAATGCTTCCCAACTTAAGATTAAATGGAAAAGGGAATTTAGCTAGCTACAGAGCAACAAAGCCCAGGTGAAAGACAGCTTAAAATAGCCCATTTCCCCTTTAAATGCTGTCTTCTCTAGTTCTCTTTTCCAAGTCTCAAAGCAATTTTTCATTTTTTAGCATTGCTTGGATGTGGACAGCATGCTTAAAATGGAGGCACTTTTGCTAAGGAGGGTTTGGTATATTACTAGTTAAAGGGAATCTACTAAATTACTGTCTTATATAGTGGCTTTATTGGTAGCAATCAAAAACTTTCCCTCTAATTTCTACTGGGTCAGCTAGTCCATACCTTCTCTACTAATGCAGGACTAGCTAGTTTTAAAGGTAAAATGCATAACAAAAAAGTTATTACTTTATATAGGAAGATTTTTGAGGCTGAGAGTACAGTAAAACTCCATTGGTCCAGCATCCAATGCTCCGGCACTCCTGATGGTCCGGCACCATCGGGAACCCGGAAGTGCTCGGGGCAGCCGGACAATTGGAGCTGTTCTGCGCCCGGCTTCCCCGATTCAGCTGCTGCTGAAACTGACCAGCGGCTGTGCTGCATTTGATGCACTTGTAGAATCAGCACAACCTATTTTTCTTTCTCCACAACAGTATATATTTTTTTAATATACCAGGTGTGCATCCCCAGTAGAATCAAAAACCTAGCTGTGGGTGCTCTCCTAATCAGCTGGTGGCAGTTGAATCTCTCCTGAGTGGCCGCACAAGCACCTATCTTACAGGCAACAAAACAGGTTTTGGATATTGCACAAAAACACTTCTTGCAATGCTAATCTCTGGCACCAGCCTCTCTTTTTATCATACACTCCTAGTTGCTGATCTGATCTGACCCTGCAAACACTGAAAGTGTTCTACTCCTTTTGAATTCCCTCCTCATCTGCGTTCTTTTAAATGGATTATTTTACCACTGTAACCCTTACTTATCTACATTTCAAACAAATAATTACTTAATCCCATTTTTATCCATCTGCATAGCAAAGAGAAACTAAATTATTTGTTCCAAGCAGAAATAGAGTCAATTTTCCAAGCAGAGTACAGTAAACTTCCGATAATCTGGCACTTTTAGGACCCAGGGGGTGCTGGATTATCAGATATGCCGGACTATCAGAAGGGGGGGGGCTATGAGGGGTCTGGGGTGGGGTGGTAGTCTGATAGTCTGATAGTCCAGCTCTGCCCCAGTCGTCCCTGATTCAGCCGCTGCTGGTCAGTTTCAGCAGCTGCTGAATTGGGGACGCCTGGGGCAGAGCCGGACTATCGGAAGGGGGGGCTATGAGGGGTCTGGGGTGGCATCCTCCCCCCAGACCCTTCATAGCCCCCCCTTCCGATAGTCTGGCATATCTGATAATCCGGCACCCCCTGGGTCCTAAAGGTGCCTGATTATCGGAAGTTTACTGTAATGTGGAAAACAACTAGATCCTTCTATGTTTCTGCTGCACAGAGAAATTTCTTACATTCCTTCAGCAGATGACTATAAATCTAAAAGTCAAGGTAACTGATGACTTATAACTAGAGGGGCAAAGGGGGTAGGTCTAATGCAGACTATGATACCAGTACACAATCAAAGAACAAAAGGAGTTACCTCTTCAATGTTCCAAAGCATCCTTCAGACAATATGAGGAAGTTTGGAATAAGATCACTTGTTTAACACCAGTCAATTGTTTGACAAGTTGTTGGTTGATGTTGGAAAACACCACAATACACCCTGATTTTGACTAACATTTACTAGTTATATTAGTTACAAATGTTGATGTCTCCTCTACATATCAATGAAGAGCAGTATTGCAGTTGTTTCCTCTCTTTGCAGTTCACAAAAAAGCCAAAAATACAGTAGTTTTCTTAGGAAACCAATTACAGAAAGTGTTCATATGACATTGTTTGTAAATACTGTGGAAACCCTGCTGCAACAGTCCACAGTAGCATTTCTTAAAACAGGAAGATATTCTTACACAGTAGTAATTTGCCTTTTTGGCAGTAAGTTTACACGGAATGACTCACGAAACCAGGGAAACTAGAAATAAGTGAAACTACAACTTTTAGGTGAAAAGCTCTTTAGTCCTTAAACGCCTGCACTGTTTGTTATTTATATTGTATGCATACTGCTTAAGGCCATACATCACAGCGTGTGTGTCATGTCCATAAACTATAGTAGTTCAATACAGTCTCCCTCCAAGAGAACAAGTTACTATAGATGATTGTTTAATAGTTTCAGTCTTGCATAAGAGTTATTTGTCTCCTGAATCCTTGTCACTAAAAACTGACCTTGTTAGACTTCTAACGATAAACAGAATCAAGTCTGACTAGTAACTAGATGGGAGAACTCCCAGGAAAACAAGTTCTGCAGGAAGCAGAGTAGACAAATTAGGAGATGGTATCAATTCTTCTAGGTTGTTTTGAAAGAATGCCCCAGTTTGATGCTGGCAGAGAATAAGTGCTTCTGATGCCACCCTCTATAGAAAAAAAAAATCAAGGTCCTAACCAGAGTTAAAGCATGCCTTCACCCTTCCCATCTGCATTTTAGTTTGGATGACTGCGGTCTAGTTACTTAAAATTTCCCCCCGTATTTTCATGCAGAAACTGTAGCATTCTTCACTTCCTATCCTGAAGAGTTGCTGTGTTACTGTTGAACACTTGCCATATTCCATCTCAGAGATGACTGCACTTCAGTCAAGGATCAAGTAAATCCAGCACAATGTTTATAGAACATTTCAGCATCTTTGGGATGAAAGGATCTGTATAAGTAATATTTTCCTATCAACTTCTGCTGCTAAACCGAACTTGATTTAGCGAAAAATAAACCCCACAATTTGGCTCAAACTTTCCAAGACAGGCTCGAGAGCTCTCGCCTCTAACAGGCTACATTAGGGTATTCAAACCAAATAAATGATGAAATGTTATAACAGTGGATTGCCAAACTCACCATAGAGAGCTGTCCAAGTTTGATTAATTACATCTAGACATACAGTTCCTGACCTGAAACAGATTGAGAGAATGGAATTAAAACATGTGCAAGTTAGCTAAATACTTCCAGGATTTCACATTTTTAACCCCTCATGCTCCTCCCCTCTCCCCCAATCAAGGATCAATTAACTTTGTCTGAGAGCAAAATATAGGGCAGTCATAGTGATTAGGAGAGCTTCCATACTACCTACAGAAACTAGATTTTTCTAAGCAAGGGATGAAGAGAATGGACACTAACTTCGGACCCGTATGTGCATGGGGAGAATCTTGCTAGCAAGACTAAGGCTGGAAAGAAAGGAGGGGCTTTATTTAATGGACATCTTAACAAACCAATTGTATGGAATTGATTAGATTTTTATGATTTCTGAATAGGATTTGTATAACTGTATGAACCAACGCTAACTGATAGGTGGTGGGCCTAGAGTTATTTCTTGTCTTGAGAAGAGATCTTTGAAAAAGGAGTACTAGCAACCCTGGACCTTCTATGCCACAACATGTGCCTCACTTATTTTTAAGAAGCACCCAATATTGCCCATGTAATACAGATCACAGGAGAAGCCTCCCATAGTATGCTTCCTATCCAGTATTCCATACAACCTGATCTCTACTGGGAAAGTTACCCATGGGGTAGGAAACACTTTCCTCATATTGAATTCGTACCCAGGACAGTTAGCATTCGATTAGATGACAGCTTTACTCAGCCTATGGAAAAGTTGCTTTGGTTTTCTAATGAAAGCATAATACAGCTACAGAGTACCCACTAATCAGAAATACTGTATACTAAGGATTTACTTACGCTTCGTCAATATTGGGATGGAAAATTTTATTCATGAATCCTGTAAAGAGACACACTGGTTAATAGCAGAAAGTAGCCACAAAAAATTAGCACATTTGGCAAGTTGTTTGCAGAAAAGATATGAGCCCTCATCTGAATAAATCTGAATGGAAACCTTGGCTAGGCTATATATAGCTTTTTGACCTTTCAAATAAACAAGTCATATCTGACCCTAGGGCCCTCTGCTGTTCACTTCTAGCTCATCAAAATCCCCATTTATACACAACTGTATTCAAAGGTTTGGCATCCAGTATTATCTTGAATAATATTGCCCATTAAGCACGTACACTTTTTGGATAAAATGCTTTACAAAGCTGCAGGATTTTTGGTACAAACACTAAACAAAACGATCTAAGCTTAATGTTTGCTCTAGGAATAAGCTTCCCTTCTAAAATGCTCTTTCCAATAAAGGATTTCCTTAAACACTTTCAATCTCAATATTAAGCAGCCTTTGTAAGGCACATCGGGTGTGTCTAGACGATATGACTCTGTCGCCAGAGCCATGTAGATTCATTTACTAGACATACCCAAATGAAGCTGCAATTTAAATAACTGCCGCTTCATTTAAATTAAAATGGCTGCTGCGCTGTGCCGATCAGCTGTTTGTCGGCTCAGCGCTGTAGTCTGGACGCTCCACGGTCGACATCAAAGGCACTTGTCGACCTCCCCGGTAAGCCTTACAAAGGCTGCTTAATATTGAGATCGAAAGTAGACCGTGGAGCGTCCAGACTACAGCGCTGAGCCGACAAACAGCTGATCGGCACAGCGCAGCAGCCATTTTAATTTAAATGAAGCAGCAATTATTTCAATAGTGGCTTTATTTGGATATGTCTAGTAAACTAATCTACATGGCTTTGGTGACAGAGCCATGTAGTCTAGACACACATCGAGACAGCTGTATGTTTCTGTAATACCAGATAACACTTGCTCTTTTGCTGTATTGGTACAGAATGTTGACAATTGCTACCCCAGGTCATTGAAAAAAAAAAAAAAACACACAGTAACAGTTCCATCTCAAAACTCATGCAGTCTAAGTATGGGCTAAACTAAAAACCGGTTGCTATTTTGATGCTTTTTGTTCTGCCATTTAGTTGAGAGAAATGAAAAATGATATGATTTAATAGCAAATAGAATATCAAGATAAACCAACTTGCTTAACACTTTAAAATCACATCTGCTAAACTGTAATCGGGGCACACTTTTCAGCAGCTAGCTAAGGTTAAGTTAACCTCACTATTGTCTGTCATCCTGTAGCACGCACCTAGGAGCCCTAGTCATGGATTTTGACCCCAATATGCCTGCTGCTGTACAAATACAGATCAAAGGATTGTCCCTTCCCCAAAGGATCTAAAAATAAAAAAAGGAGTCCTATAAAATGTGGAAGCTAGGTCAAATTACAAAGGATGAATATAAGCAAACAATGCAAGTATGCAGGGGCAAGACTAGAAAGGCAAAGGCATAAAATGAACTCAGTCTAGCTTGGGACATAAAGGGCAACAAGACGACATTCTACAAATATATTAGAAGCAAGAGGAAGACCAAGGACAGGGTAGGCCCATTGCTCAATGAAAATGGAGAAACAATGACTGGAAACTTGGAAATGGCAGAAGTGCTTAATAACTTCGTTTCAGTTTTCACCATAGTTTGATGGTGACGAGATGCCTAACAGTGAATGCTGGTGGAAATGGGATAGGTTTAGTAATTAATTTAAAAAAACCAAATACATTAAAAATTACTTAGAAAAGTTAGATGTCTTCAAGTCACCAGGGCCCGATAAAATGCATCCTACAATACTCAAGGAGCTCATAAAGGAGGTATGTGAGCCTTTAGTTATCACCTTTGAAAAGTCATGGAAGTCAGGAGAAATTCCAAAAGACTGGAAAAAGGCAAATATAATGCCCATCTATAAAAAGGGAAATAAGAACAACCCAGGAAACTACAGACCAGTCAGTTTAACTTCTGTGCCAGGAATGATAATGGAGCAAGTAATTAAGGAATTCACCTACAAACACCTGGAAGATAACAAGGTGATAGGTAACAGCCAGCATGGATTTGTAAAGAACAAATCATGTCAAACCAATCTGATAGCTTTCTTTGATAGGATAAGAACTCTTGTGGATAAGGGATAAGCGATAGACATGGTATACCTACACTTTAGTAAAGCATCTGATAGTCTCACATGATCTTCTTATCAATAAATAGGGAAAAGCAATTTAGATGGGGCTACTATAAGGTGAGTGCATAACTGGCTGGATAACCATTCTCAGAGAGTAGTTATTAATGGTTCACAGTCATGCTGGAAGGGCATAAAAAGTGATCTGCAGGGGTCTGTTTTAGGACTGGTTCTATTCAATATCTTCATCAACGATTTAAGATGATGGCATAGAAAGTATGCTTATGAAGTTGCAGATGATGCCAAGCTGGGAGGGGTTGCTTTGGAGGACAGGGTCATAATTAAAAATAATCTGGACAAACTAGAGAAATGGTCTGAGGTAAATAGGATAAAGTTTAATAAGGACAAATGAAAAGTGCTCCACTTAGGAAGGACCAATCAGTTTCACACATACAGAATGGGAACTGACTGTCTAGGAAGATGTACTACAGAAAGATCTATGGGTCACAGTGGACCACAAGCTAAATATGAGTCAACAGTGTGATGCTGTTGCAAAAAAAGCAAACATGATTCCGGAAGGCATTAAAAGGAGTGTTGTGAGCAAGACACGAGAAGTGATTTTTCCGCTCTACTCCCCACCAATTAGGCCTTAGTTGGAGTATTGAGTCCAGTTCTGGGTACAACATTTCAAGAAAGATGTGGAGAAATTGGAGAAGGTCCAAAGAAGAGCAACAAAAATGATTAAAGGCCTAGAAAACATGAGATGAGGGAAGACTGAAAGAATTGGGCTTGTTCATTTAGAAAAGAGAAGACTGAGAAGGGGACATGATGGCAGTTTTCAAGTATCTAAAATGGTGTTGCAAGGAGGAGGGAGAAAAATTGTTCTCCCTGGCCTCTGATAAAACAAGAAGCAATAGGCTTAAATTGCAAGAAGGGAGATTTAGGCTTGACAAATGGCGACGAAAGCCGCTCGCCAGCCCCGCATTGTGCATGCGTGTGCCGCCGGTAAACGGGGCGCACAGCTGAAATCTACTCGCTGTCAAGCCCTGGACATAGTTTGTCAAGCGCTGGACATTAGGAAAAGCTTCCTAATTGTCAGGGTGGTTAAACACTGGAATAAATTGCCTAGGGGGGTTGTGGAATCTCCATCACTGGAGATATTCAAGAGCAGGTTGGACAGACACCTGTCAGGGATGATCTATACGGTGGTTGGTCCTGCTGTGAGGGCAGAGGACTGGACTTGATCTCTCGAGGTCCCTTCCAGTTCTAATATTCTATGAATCTAAATTCTCCAAATTTTGAGGGTCTCTTCTGCAAGAAGGAACACAAACACACCCATTCCCCTTGCCCATATTCCTCATTAGCTTTCTAATCCACTTTGAGATCTCATTTCAAGTCTTTCAGATTCTCCATAGGACTTGTCTTTCATCTTCAGATATCTTTTCCTCTAGGCCAAGTTGAGTTGCATTCTAGCATACTTCTATCCCATGCCCTGCTTATTTTGTCCGCGATTACAATAAGCTCTTCAAATCTCACTTGTCCCACGCATTGCTTGAAATTGTGCAGTCACTTTAGTCCTGCATGATTACAGGTAGAAATGATCATATGAATTTGTATAATGATATTAGCCTATATTTCCAAATAAAAGCTAAGCATGGTTAAAATGACACGCATATATATATAGCCCGTCAATGAAATAGAAGCTAGATATCAGCCTATTAAACATAAAGCTCTCTTCCAACTGGCAAAGAACTTTGGCGTGTTCTCTATAACCATAACGGTATATACCGTAACAGCACAATTTTGATCCATGTGTCATGCAGGGGTCTGAATAAACTGATAAAAGAATTTTCAATGTAATAAACACCATCCAAAAACAGGGTCATGCCGCCAAATCAATATTTGCATTACCAGTGCAGGGCTTCACTGGTGTAGCTATATCACAAGATTATGGCATCTTTGCTAGAACACCATACTGGGCAGCTTTAGAGGCCTTAATTATATGGGTAAAAGTAAATGTACAAGTTTAATCAGTGGTCTAGTGTAAGCACTGTGCTGAAGACATCTTCAGTTAACGTCTGCTTGAAATGAAATAGACTTCTGATGAGAATAATTAGGGATGTTAAATATTGGTTAATTGAATAGTTGATTAACCTAATGAATTCTTATTGGTTACTCGGCTATTCTGCAGTCCCGGGGGTGGGGCCAGCAGCCAGTGCACTCCAGCCCCACTCCTGAAGAGCCCCCTGCCACTCCATACTGCTCTGATACCGAGGAAGCAGCGCAGGGGGCCAGGTGGGAGCTGGTCTGTGAGGGGAGCCAGTTTAAAAGCCAGCTCTCCTTGCAGACTGGCTGCCTGTCGTCCTGCACTGATACCTCTGATACAGGGGCAGCAGCGCAGGGTGTCAGCAACCCCTGTCCAGGGGAGGGGCTGAGCTCCTGGACCCGGTGAGAGCTTGAACTGACCCAGGCTGCCTGCCTGCCTCCTAACACATTTTAAATGCAGAGCTGCAACGGGGGTAGGTCCCAGACCCAGTGAGAGCCAGGACTGAGCAGGAA